ACAACCCTCCCTTCTCTTCAAGAACAGTACTCATCCAGAGTGAGCAAAAGGGCTGGCAAAATCACTCTGGACCCCTCACATCCAGCACACTCCCTCTTTGTACTGTTGCCATCTGGTCGACGCTACAGAGCACTGAGCACCAGAACGACCAGACACAGGAACAGTTTCTTCCCTCAGGCAATCCATCTCATGAACACTTGACAATAACTATGGAACACACAACACTATTTATACACTCATACACTTATTTATCTAACACACATATGTAGTCTACACCTCAAATTTGCACATAATATACCTTTTCATACAAAACTGTCTATTGTAATATACCTGCACATACAATTGTCAATTTATATATTGTTATTCCTTATTTACTTGTTCTATTTTGTTTTATTTATTTATTTATTTATTTTATTTATTTTTTATTTTTTATTCTTTTTTTATTATCTGTGTTTTTGTTCTGTCGCTGTCATTCTGTTGCACTGCGGAAGCTTCTGTCATGAAAACAAATTCCTCGTATGTGAAAACATACCTGGCAATAAAGCTCATTCTGATTCTGATTCTGATTCTGATTACAGTAATTGAACATGACTCATTACTCTAGTTAATTGCAGCAGCACGCAAACAGTATTTAACTAATCATCACAGCTCCATAAATCAAGACTAGAGGATATTCAGTGGCAGATGATGCATGCTGCGTTTTCTATGGAAATCATGACACGAGTTGGACTGTGGCCCCTTGAGTAAATTTGCTGCCTAATATACATGTCAAAATCATTTGGTTTTTAAAAATGAATGGGCTTTTATCTGATAATGCTTCTAATTTTTTTTTGTGATGTGATTATGAATATGACTATTAAAAGTAAATGATCAAACACATTATAAGTGAATTTGGGTTCTCCTCAGGTGAAGTACGCCGGCCCTAAAGACACAGTGATGCAGTTCATGTTTTACCAGCCCATCCGCTACCAGTGGAGGGAAACTGACTTCTTCCCCTGCTCTGTCACCTGTGGAGGGGGTAAGTGTTATAGATTGATTAAATTCCCAGTGATTTGAATGGTTTGAATTCACTCGTTCAGCACACCTACAAGACAAAGATTTAAAATTTGGGATATTACTGTCCGATACCGATAAGCCAATAATTATTTTCAGATTATGGCTGATAACTGATTGCAAAAGTTAAAATACTTCACTATTTTGTCTAAATAAATGAAAAATAAAACACTAAAAACTGAAATCAGTCATTTTGAATGAGACAAGTGAATTTAGTCATCACAAAATGTATTGATATTTATTTGCTAAAGAGTACATGTACAGTAAGTTGTTAATGGGTTAGTGTTTTTAAAAAATAACTGTTAGATGAGGGGAAATATATAATCTAAATGTAAAAATAGGGGAAATTAACTGTACAGTAAAATATCTAATTGATATCAGTTGAAATATATCCAGTATCAACCAATGTCAATACCGATAAATGTAAAAATCTAATATCCGCTTTAATATTGGCAGATAATTGATTTTGAACCCATCTATCATGAATTAATATGATTCATGCATGCATTATCATACATACTATTTAAAATGCTGCCTTGTCATACATGATAACTGTTTTTAGATAAAAGTACTTCTAAAAGTTGTTGGATGTGTCTTTGGATAATATTAATTTATGATAAGCTGACTGTTAGTTTTGATGCTTGATGTACTTTGTTTCTTCCCTGAAGGATATCAGCTTTAAATGTAAAAATAAGTTAAATGAGCAAGTACAAATACATATTCAATATCTGCTGCTATATATCCAGCTGATATACTGTATATCGACTAATGCCAATACAGATAAATAATAAAAATTAAAAAAATTCATATTGGCAGATAATTGATTTGGTACCTGTCATGCATTAATATATGATACATGCATGCATTAGCATGCATAATACTTAAAATTCTGCCTATATAGGGTCCATTTGTCATAAGCAGTAACTTTTTAGGTTCTGAAAGTTGTTGGACACATTTTTGGCTAATATTGATTTCTGAGAAACATTTGACTATTAGTTTTGATGCTTAATGGTGCTTTGTGTCGTCCCTGAAGGTTATCAGCTGAATTCGGCTGATTGCATGGACATTCGTTACAACAAATCGGTTGCGGAGCACCTTTGCCACAGCTTCCCAGAGAACACCAAACCCACACCCAAGCTCAAGGAGTGCAACATGGATCCCTGCCTCGAAAGGCTGGTTCTGTCTTATTGACCCTCCATGATTAACACAGTGAATGAAGAATGAATCTCAATAAACCAGAGAGTGTCTGTGCATGAGACTTCCTGTTCATCAACTTATGATAGTGTGGATAATGGCTTGAAGGCTAATGGTGTTTGTTTCTCTGCAGTGATGGCTTCAAGGAAGTGATGCCCTACGACCAGTACCAGCCTCTACCACGGTATGAAGTTATTTATTGTACAGCACACTTGCTGCTCACATACTCATGGAGATCAGTGATGCTCACTGACAGAATTTAACATCATTCATCAGAACCAACTTTGAATGTTAATTTGTCAAGTCTGCAAGCTCAGAACATAGTTTTAATACTGGACAGTTTGATGAAAGAGTTATCTATTTAAAAGTAATAATTAAAATACTTTGATAGATGCACATCATTTAAAGGTTTGAGGTCAGTAAGATTTTATACTTTAATAAATTAATACTTTTATTCAGCATAGAGACATTAAATTGATCAAAGGTGACAGTAAAGCAGGTTATTTTTGGTGTCATTGAGATATTATTTTTAGATTTTATTAACATTTGAATTAGTTTTTATATTTTCTCTTTTTATCTTAATTTTAGTTTTAGTCATTTTGTTGTGTTTTTGTCTTATTTTTAAACTTCTATATAGTTTTCATTCATTTTTTATTTCAGTTTTAGTTTGTTATTTTAGTACATCAAGATAAATGTTGCTGAAATAAAACAAGTTTAGGTTTTCTTTACATTTTATTTTATTTCAGGTAACCTTTATTTTATTTCAATAAAATGTTTTTTTTATGGTTTTAGTTTCATTTCACAATAATAAACAACAAACTAAGAACCCACAAAAAAATGCATTCTTAAAAATAAAACCTTATTACATACTTTGCATAATTTTTTGTATTATTTTTCAGAAAATATGTAAAAAAAAAACAAAAAAACATTGGCAGCCCAATCAAAGTCACAATGATTGACATGCATAAAATATGCATGTAAAAAAGGAAAGAAAAGAAAAACAAGACATTATATCAATTATATCACTGTAATGGTGAATGCCTGGAGGAAAATTCATAATTTATCTGACCAGCTAGTGCTACTAAACTGCATTTCCCAGCATTCTCTGAGGCAACACAGCAGATAATGAACGGACATGAAACCAAACTCTTATATTTGAGCTTCTTCTTTGCCTAGTTTACTCTGGGCTTCTGAAGAATCTGGAGAATCTGAAGGAGAAGCAGAAACGTGCTGAACACTCAAGGCTTTTCCTAACAAAAAAATAATGCATTAAGAAATTCCCATTTAGGTACAATTTAGATTTGTCTACGAAAATAATTTCAAGCATTAAGTCTACACCTTTAGATCAAAAACATATTCATTTCAGTCAAAAAGTTGTCAAAAAAAATATGGTTCAATAAGCAAGAAAAATCTGCTTTGCCATCAGTTTCAGTCGATCCAGGAAGCAAACATAGTTGTCATTTCTTTAGATGATAGACATCACAGAAGAATATGTTTCATACGAAACTCTCTCAAACATTATGGTATGCTTCCATGGCAACCGTTCTTCCTAAACGCAGGAAGTGCTCGAGCCGTAATGAAACACTGGGCTGTGAGTGACGTTTCCATCAAACCAGCATGAACCTCATGAGAGAGACTGCTGACTTTCCACAAGGTCACAGATGAGTTACAGAACAAATACTTTCCACTGTCAGACATCAGCAGAACAGCAGCACACTGACCCAGCATCCAAACCCATCTCACACCGCAGCACGTCAGCAGCACGCATTAATAACAGCCACTGCAACAACTATTCGTCAACACAATATATGCTTTTATGAAGCAACATACAGTAAAATACTGGAGTGAACTACTGTCAAGCTTGATTTACATGCAGAGACAGACACATAGCCTACACACTCACTGAATCTAATTACCAAAAAAAAAAAAAAAAATTGAAATAAATACATTGCATAAGTACTAAATACTAAATATTTAGCTGAAGCGCCTTTAAGCCTCAAACCTTTTTGAGTATAATGCGACAAACTTTGCTAATCAGCATTTGGCAATTATTTGCCCTTCTTCTCCTCACCTCTTCACCTCTCAAGCTCTGTCAGGTTGGATGGGGGCAGATGCACATTTTCAGGTTTCTCCAGAAATATTTGATTGGGTTCAATCCCAGGCTGTGGCTGGCCACTCAAGGACATTCACAGAGTTGTCTATAAGCCACTCTTGCTGTGTGCTTAGGGTCATTGTCCTGTTGAAAAGTGAACCTTCTGCCCAGTCTGAGGTTCTGAATGCTCTGGACTGGGTTTTAATTAAGGTTATCTCAATATTTTGGTGCATTGAGCTTTTCTTCTACTCTGACGAGTCCCCAGCATGAGGTTGCTACCAGCACACTTTACTTTTGGGATGGTACTCTGCAGGTGATGAACGGAGCTGGTTTCCTTCAAACATGATGCTTAGAATTGAGGTTCATCAGACCAGAGACTCTTGTTTCTCAGAGTCTGA